TATATATATACTGAAATATTACTGACAAATTTGAAAAGTGTTAAAAAGTACATCCTCTGAGCCACTCATTAGCAATGAGGCATGTTTAGTCCAACTTAAAAAAACACCCAACATATTTTCAGTATTTCACTCATGTTCTGAGTGTAAAATTATAAAAGATTTCCTTTAACACCTTTTTGTTATTTTGCTTACTTTCCTTACATTTTGCACATTTTTCTCACCAAAACATGTTTTGTGTATAAAGCTTTTTTTTTTTTTTTGGTTTTGTTTTGTTCAAATTTAAATTTACATTTTCACAGACTTTAACTTTGATGTAAAAATCTAGGAATGGAATGTGACCTTTGCTGTTATGTCATCATTCTGCGACATTTAAAGCAAAGTGAGGCATGGCTGGAAGATGGCGGGTTCACCGCAGGACAACAAGCACGTGGTTGTTGCGGAGCTACAGTTCACTGCTAAACAATGAACAGTCTTTAAGTTTAAGTTTTGCGTACATCTTGGAGCCACATCCAGATGCTTTTAGTTCCACTATAATGGTCGTAGATGGATGACATCACAGCAAAGACTGTGTTCCAATTTTAAATATTTAAAATAAATCATAAAACATTATAATTTTGGAAGATTTAGCATTTGGATTTAACTTTTAATTCCACAAGAATAACTCACTTATACGAAAAATGTTCTTTGTATAAACAAGAAATTAGGGAAAAGATAAGGAAAGTGAGTTTAATGAAAATATTTTGTTGGAAATTTTTTAACCAGGATTTTACATTTGACAGTGGGCCTAGTATTGAAAATGTGTGTTAAAATGTGTTGGTGATGAAAGACTTTATCAGGTCAGAATTCCACTTTATTTCTCCAAACTGAGGTGGTTACAAGAGCTATCTACAACAGGTAAGATACTGTTAAACTTTTTCACCAATTCACTCCAAAATATCTTAAATGCCTCTTTAATGCATTATTGCGCTGTTGATTCAGATGTTAACACTAAAAAAAAAATTAAAAAATGCAATTTGTCTGATTTAAGTTCATTCACTTCTCTTGCTYTCAGCTCGTGTTTCTCCTGCAGTAGCAGCACTGTCACGTGACACGTCACGTGCTTATGCGGAAGCTCCGCTGTGTTTACCTTTTGTTCCATYAGCGATAAAGCTTCACGCGCTTCTTTAGAACCCACAGCTCCTCCTGCAGTGGGTGTTTCAGCAGGTTATGCCCCGCTGCGGTCACCCATCGGCGGCATGGCTTCTACAGGTCACCCCTCCATCCAGGACACCACAGGTCGGCTTCCACACAGAAAAATTATATATTTATATGTTATTTTCAGCTCTATCCTGTGAGGCAGATTTTATTAATTTCCAGCAGAGCAAGTCGTGTGTTTGTGCAGAGAGCAGGAGTGATGCTTTATTATAAGTGAAATTTGATCATAAGAGTATATTAAGCCTGAAATCCAGCAGGGAAAACATCGACTTTAAATCTGACAGATCAGGCGGGTGATGCAATTGTCTCTGTGTGTTAGGTACAGCGGGTAAAATAAGTATTGAACACGTCATCATTTTTCTCAGTAAATATATTACTAGAGCTGCTAATGACATGAAATCTTCACCAGATGTTGGTAACAACAGAGCACTTCATGGTCAGGCCCCCAAATACATCCTGGACCTTCTGAAGCCTCTCTGTCCATCCAG